ACTTGCTTCTGCAACCGCTGCTCTTCACTGGGGAGACTCTCGCCCCGCTGGTATTGTACATTATCCAGGGCCTAGTACCAGATGCCTTTCCTTAATGCATCCTGGCCATCCAGGTCCTCCTCCTCGTATGACACTGCTGGTTCCATGCTGTTGCTGTCAGGGTCGCTGTACTCAGACATGCGTTGCCCTCAAATTGTAAATCCATGGAATGGTGTCGCCTGTAGCTGTCCTGTTGTCTGTGGGAACGATCCCGCCGCTTTCCACCAATTGTAACGGACCGTTTTGCACACAAGGGGTAAAAACTGTTTAGGCGATCGTCCCTCTTTCCATAGATGCAGGCACAGCTATAGTAAAACACCAAACACACGAACCGCCAATAAGTGAATGCTCCAAACTCCCGAATGGCATCCAATATAGCACTCCAAACACACGAACAGGAACCACACGAATAGCTGCTAGCAGCTGAACAGGAAAAGCAACCAAGCAGCTTACACTCCTGGCAATCAGTCTCTAACAGCATACAGTAAATCCCCCCAAGAACGAGAGAAAGCTCCGTGTTGAGGGTCAAGCAGTGAACAGACAGAGCTGTGGGTTTATTGTGCTTATTTACACATTCTTACACATTAGTACCACCCAGAGGATTTTGAAACACAACCAATAAACACATACAATACACTCAGACACTCCCACACAAATTCCTCCCCTCTGCATGTGATTCAATTACCTTACACAATGGGTAATGTAATTTAGCACAAGCAGAGAAATACAATTTTCCACATTATTCATAACTTGAAAAGTATGCATCACATTCACATAAACTTACATTTTCAGAATCAGCATACTCCAAATACAAACATACGTCAAAATCATACAAATTGGTCAAGTGGTTCAAAAGATAGATCATAGTCCTTTGTGACCACAGGAAGCATGGCTTTTCTGCCCAAAACCAGTTCCACAGAGTCTTCTATCCTGGAGATAATTAGAAGTAATCAAATTATCTCCAAAGACAGAGGCAAAACTCCATTGAACACATGGCAGCAAAAAGACAGTAAAATACAATAAAATACACAAGGTTACATTTATGACAAAATACAGACATGCAACATATGCCCAGATAGCTTAAGTCTGAGCGCACATTATTACTGAATGGCGCTCAGAGCACACACATACAGTTCAATTGCCATGGAGCCAAAGTCTTTCCCATAGTCTTTCATTATACGAATGGGCTCCATGGCATAGCTATCTGGGGTATCACGGCTCAAACAGGGCAAGCACCAAATGACCCGGCTTTCTTGTCTTTGCAGGGGAAAATGAAGCCTTTTAACATGGGGCCATAATCCAAAGGCAACAGGCGAGCAACCAGGCTTCTCCAATGCAATGTTGCGAGATTGCTCTCGTCACACAAGTTTTTCCACAAGGTTACCACCCACATGGGCCTTCTGGAACATCCAATCAAACACATTACAGTACAGTCAGACACTCCCAGCCCAGGCACACAAACCCTCCCCTCTGCCTGTGATATAATTACTGAACACAATGGGTTAACACAATTATCACAGGCAGGAAAATATACAGTTTTATACAATGTTCATAACTTCCAAACCATACATGCAATTCACATAATTAAACTAATTTGCATATGTCCACCTAGAATCCTTTGTGGTTGTACCTTCGCTGCAGTTTTGGGATTTCTGTGGGGAAAGTAAGTCTTAACATTGTATTAACTATCCACAGACTTCAGGTGGAAGGGGTTTTCAATCACAATTTTTCCCCACCATAACCTATTTGGATTTTGCTATATAAATATAGATATATATAATATATATATATATATATATATATTCATCTATAATGGTCATAGTCTTAAATATTAAAGATTCCAGGCACTCCAAATGTGAAAGCCGTAGGCAGATTTATTGCAACAAAATGAACAGCAATGTTTTGACCCACGAAGAGGTCTTTTTCAAGCTTGAAAAATACCTCTTGGTGGGTCAAAACATTGCTGTTCATTTTGTTGCAATAAATCTGCCTACGGCTTTCACATTTGGAGTGCCTGGAATCTTTCTTATTGCCTTGTCGTATTGGGATTGCTGGTCCTGTTCCTGAGCGCCTGTGGCCGTTGCGAGTGAGTGCGGTTCCTGTGACCAATTTTTGCTATATAGTCTTAAATATTAGCACTTAATAACTGGGATATCATTGTTAGCTGGAAAGGAGCAGAAATTCATGACAGCAAGTTTGAAATTCTTATCTCAGTCCCGGGTGGGTGCAAAGTTAAAGAATGTACTATTTATAGTACATTGAGCTGAAGTGGTCTGGGTGCCAGGTCCCCCAGGTTTTAACCCTTCAGATGTAAACATAGCAGTTTCATTGCATTGAGAAATGCTTTCCTATGGGCGTTTTTAATGCGCGCGCTGGCTCTGGCCACGCGTGGGCATACGGCTCCACTCGGGAGTCCGGCACTGGATAAAGGTAAGTGGCTGAAGGGGTTTTAACCCCTTCAGCCCAGCTGGAGGGGGGCCCTGAGGGTGGAGGGGACCTAAGGACTATATAGTGTCAGGAAAAAAGTTTGTTTTTCCTGACACTGTAGTGATCCTTTAAGGAAAACATTCATACAGGAACAGTATATTTGGCCATAGCTGCGAAGCTTAGTCTGCAAGAAATAAACTGTGTACATCATATAGCCAATTAGGATGCCCTAAACCTTCCAAATGATCTGGTATGTGTCTCCTCTGGCAAACTCTTGTCATTCTCTCCCTGGGGATTAATTAAATCAGAATGTGACATGCCACATTTCAGATAAGCAAATGACAGAAGCAGTAGTGATTCATGAGTATTTTAGCAACTTAAACAAATAATGTGTATGGAGAACCTTGGACGTTTTTCCTATTACTGAAAACTTCCAGTTTTTGAAAACCTATTTTTTACACATAGAAGATTCACTGAGTTTATTATTATGGAAACAGCTCGTATTTTGATGGATATTTGCTGTTACACGTGTCTTATATTTCATGATTAGTGATGTTTTCAAAATCTACAAAGTAATGTCTTTGATTGGCTAAGATATGTATTGCAATGTTGCTATGACTTAAATCCCCAAAATCCTACATTCAGCATGATTTGCAGCTCCTGACTCAGGTTTGCATCCTGTTGTCTCACTTCTAGTGACATTAGTGAAATGTCCCCAGTTGCACACTGAGTGCATCAATAGATGTCTCATACTGTGTGCATTGGTTACCCTGAACGGAGGTGGCTAGTGCTGCAGCTTGAGCTGCATCGGCTAGCTCCATTCAGGGTAACCCATGTTCACAGAATGTGAGGGTGTGGTGATGGTGCTGCAGTGCTTGGATGCCGAGGAAAGGACTGGTCCTCCTTTTCTGAAGGGAACTCTCCTTTCCTGGGCATCCAGGTACTGCCACATCATCAACAGACCCACACACTACATGTCCTGGATTCATACCTTGCAATGTTGGTTGGTACGTGTTAGTGAAAAATTTGAAGAGTAGACAAATCATTTAGAATTTTGTTCTAGAGCATCGAATGGAAAAACATCCAAAGTATGTGTGTGTGTGTGTGTGTGTGTGTGTCTGACAGTGAATGTGTGTCTGTCAGTGAATGTGTGTATATGTCAGTGAGTGTGCGTGTCTGCCAGTGATAGTGCATGTCTGTGAGTGAGTCTGTCAAAGTGTGTCAAATCAGTGAGTATGGGTGTGTTTGTGAGTGTGCGTGTCAGTGTGTGTATGTGTGTGTATGTTAGTGTGTATCTGTCAGTGAATGTGTCTGTCAGTGAATATGTGTATGTGTCTGACAGTAAGTGAGTTTGTGTGTCTCAGTGAATGTGTGTGTGCCTGTCAGTCAATGAGTGTATGTCAGTGTATGTGTATTTCAGAGTGTGTGCCTGTTAGTGAGTGGGTGTGTCAATGTGTGTCTGTCACTGAAAGAGTGTGTTGGTCTTAAACAGGAAGAGGTGCGGTCTTGACAGGAAGGGGTGGGGAAAATTTAGATTAGGGGGTGCCTGAGTTTAATCATGCCTAGGGCAGCACAAATTCAAAATATACGACTGGCCACACACACACTGATACAGATGCGCACACAATCACACATTGACACAAACACACAAAGACACAAAGACACACACTGACACACATGCAGATATACAGATAAAAACACTGACACACATACAGATACACAGACACACAGATGCAAACACTGACACATGCAGATACACAGATTGCCAGATACACACACACATAAATACACATAACACACATGCAGATGCAAACACTGACACACATGTCAATGTACAAGCATACACACTGACACATGCAGATACACAGACATACAGATACACAAAAATGAAAAAAGCAAAAATAAACCAATCCAATTGCTTAAACCAGGAGTAGATACTAACACCTAAAATATTTATGGTATATATGTATGCATAGATACCCTATATTAAATGAATTTACTTCTAGCAGAGATGGTGAGTCTGTTTTCAAAGAAGCTAAACAGTGAGATTAAAATCAAATAGATATAATCATTAGTAGACAAATCAATGTCATGCAATTTAACAAAGCATGAGTTAGTAGGGAAAAAAACCTTAGACACAGACAAATGTATCTAAATGAATATACACTGTATCAGTGCTTGTAGGAAATGTCAGCAATCTCAGTTCTGTTAATAAATGAGGACCAGAAACATGCAATTAGTCCAATAATGTATTTTAATTGTATGCTCTTATGTAGATTAGGCTGATATCCCTTCTATGAAAACAGCAGGGAAACTAGCCAATATGAGCTAAATGTACTCTAGTAGCAGAGTAATATTTTAGTCAATAGTAGTATGGTACATGAAGGATAAAATATGATCAAATGCAGAGGAATAGCAAGCATGTAGACTAGTGATGTCCCGAACGGTTCGCCGAACGGTTCGCCACGGGTGGCGCTGTTCGGTCCGCACCCTATGTCATCATTGAGTAAACTTGACCCTGTACCTCACAGTCAGCAGACACATTCCAGCCAATCAGCAGCAGACCCTCCCTCCCAGACCCTCCCACCTCCTGGACAGCATCCATTTTACATTCATTGTGAAGCTGCATTCTTAGTGAGCTGTCCAGGAGGTGGGAGGGTCTGGGAGGGAGGGTCTGCTGCTGATTAGCTGGAATGTGTCTGCTGACTGTGAGGTACAGGGTCAAAGTTTACTCAATGATGACGAATAGGGGGCGGACCGAACAGCGCATATGTTCGCCGTCCGTGGCGAACCGTTCGGTAGACGTGTGGGATTAACTCTTCTACACAAAATGTCAGTAAAATCCGAGAAACTTTCATTGTAATACCAGCCGTTGATCTTTATAATATATAGTGCAGAGGCATAGTATTCTTCATATAAAAATTTTATTCAACTGAAAAAATATATGTAATAACAAAATCCTTAATAAACACTCTTTTTAGGGCATCTTCTACTAGGTCCACCGCATACCCTTTATTCAGGAATTGCTTCTTCATGTCTTCCATTTGTAATTTGCACACTTCCATTCCGAGCAATTCTGCTTAATTCTTCTAAATTGGCTGAATGGGATGTTATTCAACCATGTCTTCTTATGATAGCTATTAAAGGGTATGAAACTATTGCAATCCACTCTTTTTTTGAATGTTTTTGTATTGATGGTATTTTCTTTAATATAGATTTCCAAGTCCAGAAATTCCACTGTTTCTTTCGAGTGTTGGAAAGTAAATTTCAAATTGCACGGATTAAAGTTGAGATACTGTTTGAATTGCTCCAGAGACATCAAATCTCCCTTGCAAATGACGATACAATTATCTATGTATCTCTGCCATAGGACCAGGTTTGCCACCGCTGGGGAATTGCTCCAGATGAATTCATCTTCCCATTTACCCATGAAGAGGTTCGCGTAGCTCGGTGCAAACCTGGTACCCATGGCAGTCCCTCCTATTTGGAGAAAAAATTATCCTTCTGAAGAGAACAAATTATAGCTCAGAATGAACGCTACGCACTCCACCAAGTAGTTAATTTGGTCATTCTTCAATTCCGAATGGACTGCTAAATTATATTGGATAGCCTCACAGGACTCTGAAGCTGTCTTTGAAGCCGGCTGTGACAAGGCAGCATTTCTAGAGCATCCAGACTGCTGGGAGGAAGACACCAGAGAAAGGTTCCCTTATTGTTATGCTATCTGTGAATGACTTTTATCAAACTTTTTCTATTACATATATTTTTTCAGTTGAATAACATTTTTATATGAAGAATACTATGCCTCTGCACTATATATTATAAAGATCAACAGCTGTTGTTACAAGGAAAGCTTCTCGGATTTTACTGTTTTCAAAGAAGGGATATCAGCCTAATCTATATAAGAGCATACAGTTAAAAGACATTATTGGACTAATTTTATGTTTCTGGTCCTCATGTATTACCAGAACTGAGATTGCTGACATTTCCTGCACGCACTGATACAGTGTATATTCATTTAGATACATTTGTCTGTGTCTAAGGTTTTTTTCCCTACTAACTCATGCTGTATTAGATTGCATGACATTGATCTGTCTACTAATGAATATATCTATTTGATTTTAAACTCACTGTTTAGCAGACTCACCATCTCTGCTAGAAGTACATTTATTTAATATAGGATATCTAGGCATACATATATACCATATTAATATTTTAGTTGTTGGTATCTACTCCTGGTTTAAGCAGTTTAATTGGTTTCTTTTTGCTTTTTTCATTTTTGTTTTACTTATCCAGCCTAGGGTGTGGGTTGTTTTACCAGTGGTTTAGTGGAAATACTTTTCTTTAGACCATAACCTTTACCTTCCTATCTATCTAAGAAGAAGTATTTCCTCTTGGTCACTTTTTATACAGATACACACCCTGACGTACATGCAGATACAGAGACGTACAGATACACACCCTGATACACATGCAGATACAGAGACGTACAGATACACACCCTGACATACATGCAGATACAGAGACGTACAGATACACACCCTGACACACATGCAGATACACTGCGTGGCAGGATGGCCAGGCTCTTGACAATAAATTTCAGATGCAAGCGTCATAGTACTGCAGTTTATTTGCACTTTCCACAGGGTATACAATGCTGTGCTTCACAGAAATAAAACAAAAAGAAAATAAATCCTACTCCAACTTGGAGACTTACTACACAATAGTATTGCTAACTATCCAACTGACCAGCTAATTCAGTTCCCAGTTTTAAACCGTTTAAACACAGCACTTTAAACATACAGGCTTTTGCACAGTACCTTTTCCTTTAGAGTCTTAGGGTCTCACGCATAACGGCCTCCTCTCTTCCAGCTGTTAGACTCTCTGATGCCTTCAGAGGCTGACCTTTTAAAACACTAGTGCAGGTTAATGACTTCCACCAATTAAACCTATCATGCTGAGAATAGGGAGCACTCCAATCTGTTACTCACATAGAAAGCCTCTCTGACCCTGCCACATATCCTCCCCCCCACTCCCCATCTTAACACTGGTGTGTGAAGCGTTCTTCGACAAAAAGTCATGCATCTGCATTACATGTAGTAGAGCAGCCCTGTGCTTCACAAAGAATTTAAATGGTTGCAAAGTGGGGAACCAATGCGTAACCTTAGCATTCTTGTCTTTGTTGTTCTGCATCCACCACAGTGGAGCATGGTCAGTGATAAGGGTGAATGATCTGCCCAACAGATAATATTTCAATGTTTCTGTCGCCCATTTAATGACCAAGCACTAATTTTCTATTGTTACATAGTTTTGCTTTCTTGGCAGTAACTTTCGGCTTCGAAATGGCACTGGGTGTTCTTCATCCCCCAACCATCTGAGATAGTACTGCCCCCAGGCCTACATCGGAAGCATCAGTTTGCAAAAAGAAATGCTTCTTAAAATCTGGGGCTACCAAAACAGGGTACATGCATAAAGCGCTACGCAAGTCTGTAAATGCTGTTTCTGCATTATCATTTAATTTTACTATATATGGTGCCTTTGCCTTAATCAAATCAGTGAGATGGGCAGCTCGGGTTGCAAAATGGGGAATGAAGCGTCTATAATAGCCAACAAGTCTTAAGAAAGGTTTGACCTGCTTCTTTCTTAGAGGGTGTGGTCAATTTTCAATTGCCTCAAACTTTGTGATTTGCGTCTTTACCGGTCCCTCCCTACAGTATAGCCAAGATATTTGGCTTCCATACAACCAATTACACATTTGGAGGGATTAGCAGTAAGACCAGCTTTCCTTACACTGTTTACTTTCTACTGTTTCTACCTTTTCCAAATGGGAGTCCCAGATAACCTGTTGGTTTCTACCTTTTCCAAATGGGAGTCCCAGATCACCTGTTAGCTCTTTTGAGCTTCTTCCAGATATTGCCTGACTATGGGAGAATTGTGTGTAATGCACTCTTTGAGTTGATCCACATAGTGAATCACATTCTTTCCTGGTACTGTTTGTTCTTTCCATTCTTCCTTCGCTATATGTTGGGTGTCTACCATAAAGGAGCTCTGTGGCGGAAGTAAACCATACTGTGAACTGGAGAAACCTGGTTTCGCCTGCTCCCTTTTGGACTATGGCCCTGCAGGTTAAACCGTTTATTTCCCCTGCAGAAAGGCTTATTTGTGTGATCTGAGTGCCATTCATCTAATAATGTGCACTCAGATCCCAGCTATCTGGGGATATGTGAAATGTCTGTGTGTTATGTGTAAATGTGACTTTATGTATTTTAAAGTGTTTTGTGTCTTTTTGCAACCATGTGCTTAATGGAGTCTTGTGTCTATCCTGGGAGATAATTGAATTACTCTCCAGGATAGAAGACTCTGAAACTGGTTTGGGCCAGAAAGCCATGCTTCATTTAGTCACAAGGACTTTCCCTTAACTTTTGAACCCCTGGTCTGATTCGTGCCATTTTTTAATATGTTGTTCCCCTGAATGGATTGATTGTGAATATGTAATTTTATGTGAATGTGATGTATGGTTTTAGAGTTATGAAAGTTGGGTAGAAAGTATGTTTTAACTGTATGTATAATTGAGTTTCCTCTCAGGATAAGGGGAGGGAATATGTGGGATGTAACTGTGATGTGATTGGTGGTTTTGTAACGCCCTGTGGGCTGTACTATGTTTGTGGATTGGGAATAAAAGAGACTGTATGTGACAGTACAGGGAGTTCCTGCTTAACCCTCAAAGTGAAGTGTCGTCTCATTATTGGGGGAAGGATTTATTGTATGCTGTTCCAGTTTGACTGCTAGGAGAGTAAACCTATTCGTATGGTTCCTATTCAACTGTCTACAGCATTCATATGCTTGGGAGAATTTATTTGTTTCTCCGGTTCGGTGATTGTGGTGTCTGCCAGAGTGCTTGGAGTCCTCAGGAAGCGCTAGGAGCATCCTTCAACGGAGGTACCCAGTCGGGGTGCCAGGCGATCCGTTACACATGTCCAGATTGTGTAAATCACGTCCCAAACGGTGCTGAATTTGGTCCAGATTTCAGCAAAACAAAACATCGCCGGATTGCTTAAAATCCAGACCAAATAAATTAAATCCGGGCCTGGATTTTGA